TGAGAACTATTCCGGGGTCCTCTGCAAGAGTAGCCAGTGCTCTCAACTGCTGAGCCATTTCTCCAGCCCCAAGTCTTTTTTTTTTAAGGAAGAAAATCCAGAGCTGAGCATGGTGGTACATGCTTTTAGTCCCAGCACTTGGGAGACATAGGCAGGTGAATTTTTGTAAGATGGAGGCCAGCCTGGTCTACATAGTGAGTTCCAGGCCAGCTGTGATTACAGAATGAAGAGACAAAAAGAGGGTGGGGGGGTCTGGGCCTATAGCTCAGTAATAGAGCACTCGACTAAAAGTGCGAGCTTAGCACTGAAAAAAGAAATCTAGGCTGGGGCTATAACTCAGTTGGTAGACTGCTTGCCTTGCATGTACAAGGTTCTGGGTTCAATTCCCAGCACTCCATAAACCAGGCATGTTGGTACATGCCTGTAAATCTTAGCACTGGGGAGCTGGAGGCTGGAGGAGCAGGAGGAGTTCAAGGTCATCCTTTCTACACAGTGAGTTTGAGGCCAGCCTGATCTGCAGGAGACTCTGTCTCAGAAAGGAAGCAAGGGAGGGAGGAAAGGAAAGAGAAAATAAAGAATTCAGGGTTTGGGGATGTAGCTCAGTGATCAAGTCCTTGTCTAGCATGCATATGAGGACCTACCTAGTTTCCAACCTCAGCGAGGGTGGGAGGATGGGTCTAGCAAGATTTCTATTTCTGTAGGGAATTACTCCTCAAGGATGGAGATCAGGGGGGATTCAAAGCTGATACATATCAGCTGATTTGAAAAATGATTAGGTAAATTTTTGCTTTATTCAGACAAATATTGTTGCCTAGAAAGAAAAGTGCCCGATGTAGACAAGGGCTGGCAGCTGGGGTGGTTGCTGCCGTTGACCGTTGTGCTGAAAATAAATACCACTGAAGGGCTGTTTATAAATTCACTGAAGACCTTCAAAAGGCAGACTTAAGCTTTAAATTCTCAGCTCAAGACAGAGTCAGAGGACCAGGGGCCACTCCTGAATGACTAATAATAATAATAATAGCTGGGTGTGGTGCTGCATGCCTTTAATCCCAGCGCTTGGGTGGCAGAGGCAGGCGGATCTCTGTGAGTTCAAGGCCAGCCTGGTCTACATAATGAGTTCTAGGACAGTTGGGGCTACAGGGAGACCCTGTCTCAAAAAGACCAAAAACAAAACAAAACAAAACAAAAAAAACCCCAACAAGATCATATCCTATAGCCATAGGGCTACGTAGGCAAACAATGAGCAGTGTGCTGTGGTTAGTAATGGCTCGGCAATTAAGAACACTGGCTGCTCTTGCAGAGGACCAGGGTTCTGTTCCTATCACCCATATGGCAGCTACCAACCATCTGTAACTCCAGTTCCAGGATATCCAATGCCTTCTTCAGACCTCCAAGGACATTGCATGACATGGATGCACTTACATACATGCAGGTAATACACTCGTACACATAAAATAAAAATAGTAAATAAAATATTTAAAAATATATAATCACTCTATAAACCATAGTCACAGGCTGGATGTGTGGACTGGCAAAGGATTGTGCTTAGGAACTGAAAATGGAAGCAGCTGAGGGGCAGATGACTCTGTTGTGTCCTGACTCCCTAATTCCAAAATCTAGGGAGAACCCCTCCTTGTCTGTGGAAGCTGTCTCCCTTCCCATTGAGAGGGGTTGAGCCCTAGGCAAGGTGGCACAGGCCTTTAATCCCAGTACTCAGGGAGGCAGAAACAGGTAGATCTCAGAGTTCAAGGCCAGCCTGGTCTACATAGTGAGTTCTAGATTGGCTTGGGCTACAAAGCAAAACCCTAAGAAACAAAACAAAACAAAACAAAAAAACCTCCTCAACAACTACAGTTGTATAATTACCTGGAAATATAGTAATTGTAGTTTATTGAGGGAAAGCAGGACAGAGTTTCTTTATCTTTCTGTCTATCTGTTTTATCTATCTATCTATCTATCTATCTATCTATCTATCTATCTATCTATCATCTATCTATCTATCTACTTATTTATTTATTTGAGATAGAATCTTGAGTAACCCAGGTTAGCCTGGAATCTTCTTTTTAATTAAGAAAAATTAGTGTGTGTGTGTGTGTGTGTGTGTGTGTGTGCACTTGCATGAGGAGATGGGGAGCAACTTTTGGGAATTGTTTTTCTCCTTCTACCGTGTGGGTCCTGGGTATTGAACTCAGGTAATCAACTTTGGTGGTGTGCACCCTTACCAGATAAGCAATTTCACTTGGCTCTGGACTGAAACTCTTTATGTAGCTAAGGATAATCTTGAACTCTGATCCTCCTGTCTCCACTTTCCAGGTGCTGGAATTACAGAGGTGTGCCACTGAGTCCCGGTTTAAACAGTTCTGGGGATCAAACCCAAGGTTCATGCTAAACAAACACTTCTGAGCTATAATCTCTTTTTTTTTAATCTTATTATTTTATTTTATTTTATTGGTCTTTTTTGAGACAGGGTCTCCCTGTAGCCCCAACTGTCCTGGAACTCACTATGTAGACCAGGCTGGCCTTGAACTCACAGAGATCCACCTGCCTCTGCCTCCCGAGTGCTGGGATTAAAGGCGTGCACCACCACGCCCAGCTAAATTTTATTTTATTTTATAACAACTTTACTGTTAGGGGGGGAAAGATGACTCAGTTTAAGAGCACTTGCAGTTCTTCCAGAGGACCTGAGTCCATTTACTAGTACACACGTTAGGTAGCTCACAACTACCTATAACCCCAGTTTCAGGAGGTTCTGCTTCTGGCCTTGTTGGGTACCTGCACTCACAAACACATACCCCTGCCTCCCCCACAGACATACACAAATGCATCTAAAAACAAAATAAAAACTTTAGCAAACCGTGGTGGCGCATGCCTTTAATCCCAGCACTTGGGAGACAGAGGCAAGCTGATCTCTGTGAGTTTGAGTTCGAGGCCAGCCTGGTCTACATAGTGAGTTCCAGGACAGCTTGGGCTACAGGGAGACCCTGTCTCAAAAAGACCAAGAAAAAAAAAACTTTATCAGCACTACAAAAATTAAATTTCTGGGATAGAGTTCATAGGCCACATAACCCACCCTTTTAAAGTGTACAATTCAGTGTTGTTTAGACTCTGCACAGAATTATGAGCAATTGTCCATCCTTTTGACATACAAAATGATGTTATCATCTACAAAGTTTTAAGTAAACTTATGATTTGAGGTTGGGTTGTGTCCATACCTGTTCTTAGGAATGCAGCCACAGGCAGCAGCTTGGACAGAGCCTGCCTAAACTAGGAAACACTTGTTTCCCTGAGTTCTATGGCCTTCTCTTGCAAATTAACACCTGAGTTGTAGTTAACAACAGTTTGTAGCTAGGTAGTCAGCAGCCCAGGTGAAACCACCTGAGGCTCCAGGTATCTGAAGTGATGGGATGGATGAGGGAGCTATCATGGGAACAGAGCCCTCAACTTTACATCCAAACCCAGTCCAAACTGAACTGAATCGGGACACCCAGCTGGTGTCTGCTGCTAAACTGCTTGCTTCTTGGCATGTAGGGTTGGTGGGAAGTGTCAGGAGTGTTGTGTTATGACTGTAGTTGTAAGTCAGTATGAGGTTTGCTCCTTCCCTGTGCCATGCAGTGCCAGCCGTGGCAGGTAGAGTGCCATGCAACACCTGTCTCTCTGGCTTTTCTGCACTACCCCATCTTCCTTTCCCATCAGGAAAGGTTCTCTGAATTTCAGGACTCATGGGATTGAATGGCGCTCCCCTATAGAATCCAGGATAATCAACTCTCAAAGTCCAGTTAATCACACCTGCTAATCCCCTTTGACTGTGAGAGGGACTGAGCTGTGAGTTCTGGAGGTTGGCTTGAACATCCTTGGCGAGGCCTTCTGAATGCCCCACTCCTCACTTATGGAAGTGACTGTGATTACATTTAATGTAACAATGCCAACTTTTATTTTATTTTCTTTGTGTGTGTGTGTGTGCGCGTGCATGCGTGTGCGCTACATGTATATGTGATGCTCACTTATGGAAGTGACTGTGATTACATTTAATGTAACAATGCCAACTTTTGATTTCCCAACTTTTATTTTATTTTCTTTGTGTGTGTGTGTGCGCGTGCATGCGTGTGCGCTACATGTATATGTGATACATGTGCCTGTGCTTGCCAGGAGTCCAGAGGACATTGGGGCTCCTTCTCAAACACTCTCTTCCTTAGTCCCTTGCGAAAGGGTCTTTCACTGAACCTGGAGCTAGGTTGGTAGCCAGCAAGCCCCAGTGAACCTCCTGTCTCTGTTCCCTCCTTCCCCCATGTATCGGGGTTACAGGTGCTCTTACTTTCCTACATGGGGAATTGAGCTCAGTTCCTCATGCTTATGCTCTGACCTCATAGCAAGTGCTCTGACCTACTAAGCCATCTCCCTAGCCCCCAGCTTTCCTTTTAAAGTTAATTTCTTTTTCAGCAAAATTGCTTGTTTGGCTTAAGAAATATTGCACACAGCCAGGCGTGGTGGCCCATGTCTGCTATTCCAGCACCGGGAGGCTGAGGCAAAAGAGTCAGTCAGAAGTTCCGGGGTTGGAGATATGACTCAGCAGTTAAGAGGACTGGCTACTATTGCAGAGGATCCGGATTCAATTCCCAGCACCCACATACCAGCTAACAAGCGTCCATAACTCCAGTTCCAGGGGATCCGACACCCTCCGCTAGCCTCCAAAGGCTTTGTAAGACACAGGTGCATACAGGCAGGCAAAACACTCAAACACATAAAATAAATATAAAAAAATTAAAAAAGAGTCAGATGTTCATGTGCAAATACATAAGGACACCCTGTTCCCCTTTCCCCTAAAGCACTGCATACAATTCTTAGTTATATATTTATTTTTATGAACAAAAATGCTGGCGAAGCAGCCAGGTATGACTGGAATTTGGGAGCTGCGTCTGGCTGAGAAGCATCCAAAGAAATCAGGAAGCCACTGGTGTTGGAAGAGACAGTGTCTGTTTGGTAGGAAGCATGTCACTAAGATCTGTTGATGTAACCTTGCTGATCAAAGCAGGACCCTGACCGCCTAGGGCCAGTTCCTGAGGCTCTGGTGCATCCAGGCAGTGAATATAAAAGGTCTGGCCCTGGAGTGGGGCAGCTATTCTACATCCTGGACCAGTCCCAGGCAGACACTGCAGCAGCACCATGACCCCCTCAGAGGACCCCAAGGACTGGAAAGCCAGTCTCAAAGACTCCAGCCTGGAGACCAGCTCTGGTAAGATGTGGTGCAGGGCATTTTGGTGCTGAGGAAAGAGCAGCTGAGGGGAAGTGGGCAGGCAGGGGGGGTGATGGCTGGGGGGTTTACAACTGCAGAGATTCACAAGCTGTGGGTGATCTTCACGAATTTCCTGTATGAATCAATAAACCAGAACTCTGAGCTGGTGGTGGTTAAGAGCAGGTGAAGAGATCTGGCGTGTTCCTTGGGTAATATGAAGTTACTTTTTGTTGTTTAAATGTGTGTGTGTGTGTGTGTGTGTGTGTGTGTGTGTGTGTGTGCGTACGTACGTGCATGGAGGTCAGAGAACAACTTTGCAATTGATCCTCTCCTTCCATCCTTATGTAGTAGGTTCCAGGGATCAAACTCAGCTTAATCATGCTTCATACCCTACTTTTTAGAAGTAAAATCTGGGGCCTAGGGACCCCATCAGTACCATACAAACATGGGGACAAAGCAGAAAGTAGCTCAGTAAGGCAGATTTTACGTTTGCAAAGGGTGACCTGTGCGGTCAGTCCGATTCAGCAAGTACACATGGGACCCAGAAGTTCGGGGGACTTTGATCCCTAATGCAAAAGAACTGTGTCCTCCCCCATGGGCTGGGGTGCGACCTCACAGTCTTTCGAGGTTGCCTAGTTTAAAGAATCGATGCAAAGGGAGAAGAGCTCCATTAGTCCAGGTCATCAGGCTCTGGAGTGCATCAGGGCCTTTCCTTAAAAGTCTTACAGGGTGTGGTGTGATTAAAAGATTAGAGTTCCTTGTCATAAACCAAGTTTCATGTTTTACAAAGTATGAAAGAAAAGACTAATATCTCGTTTCTTACACCCACTGAGCTCTCTCCCATCCCG